ACCACCACGGCCAGTGTAAGAGACCCACCACGGTAGAAGTTGGAACACAGGCAGAGGATGAGAGGTGTGCCTTGTAAGCCCCAGAAAGGGGCTCTGATTTTATTGTAAGTGTAGTGAGAAGTCATTGGAAAGTTTTAATCAAGGAAATGACAAGATCTGATTTACTGTTTTGTTTGTTTTTATTTTTTATTTATTTTTTTAAGGAAGCTCCATGCCCAGTTGGGCTTGAGCTCACGACCCTGAGATCACAAGTCAGAAGCTCTACCCACTGAGCCACCCAGGCACCCCTAATTTAGTGTTCTCAAAGATCAAATGTGGGGCACCTACCTGAGTGGCTCAGTCGTTCAGCGTCTGCCTTCAGCTCAGGTCATGATCTCAGGGTCCTGGGATCGAGCCCCGCATCGGGCTCCCTGCTCTGCAGGCAGCCTGCTTCTCCCTCTCCCACTCCCCCTGCTTGTGTTCCCTCTCTCACTGTGTCTCTCTCTCTGTCAAATAAATAAATAAAATCTTAAAAAAATAAATAAATAAAAGATCAAATGTGAAGGGCACCCGGCTGGTCTTGATCTCGGGGTCATGAGTTCAAGTGCCACGTTGGGTGTGGAGCCTACTTTAAAAAAATCGGGGGCCTTGGTGGCATAGTTGGTTAGGCATACGGCTCTTGGTTTCGGCTCAGGTCTGATCTCAGGGTCCTGGAACTGAGCCCAGTGTGGGGCTCTGTGCTCAGCAGGGAGTCGGCTTCAGGATTTTCTGTCTCTCCCTCTCCTGCCCCTCCCCCTGCTCACTCAGCATGCGCACGCACACACTCTCTCTCTCTCTCTCACAAATAAATAAATCTTTAAAATAAATTATTAATGTGGTAACCTGATAACTGAACCAGTGAAATACACACTGAAGTATTTAGGAATATAAGGGGGTAAGATGTCTCCAGCTTACTCTCAGGTGGTTCAGAAAGAAGATAGATGCATGGATGGATAGGTGGGTGGGTGGATGATGGATGGATGGACAGGCAGATAGGTAGAGAGATACACAGAGAAACAATTGGGAGGGGGGTCTGGGTAAAGAGTATATGGGAATTCTTCATACTAATCTTACAACTCTTCTGTAGATTTGAAATTATATAAAAGTTAAAAGCTTAAAAAGATCACAGTAGGGCACCTGGCTGGCTCAGATGGTTAAGTGTCTGCCTTCGGCTCAGGTCATGATCCCAGGATCTTGGGATCGAGTCCTGCATCGAGGTCCCTGCTCAGTGGGGGAGCCTGCTTCTCCCTCTGCCTCTACTGCTCCCCCTGCTTATGCTCTCTCACTCTCTCTGTCAAATAAATAAAATAAAAATTAAAAACTATTATTATTATTAAAAAAAAATCACAAAACAGGCACCTGTCTTGCTTAGTCGGTGGAGTGTGTGACTCTTGGTGTTGCGGTCATGAGTTTGAGCCCCATATTGGGTGTAGAGATTACTTAAAAATAAAATCCTAAAAAAAAAAAATCACAGTAACACGTGAAGGGAAAAGACTGTAGGACAATCAAGAGACAAAATAAGAAGCTGTTGACCTATGAGGATTGGACTTTGCTGTATTCATCTGCACCCTGTTTCCCAAAACGTTTTCTTTCGCGTAAGTGCTTCTTGAAAAGGGGGCTCTAAAAAAAAGAAAGAAAGAAAAAGAAAAGGGGGCTCTGTGGCCAAATCATTCTGGGAAACCGTTGAGTTAAACAAAGCAGATTCCCTTAGAGACAGAAGAAGGAAAGCCCAAGAGAATAAAAACTCAGCGCCAGCTAATATTTATCAATGCATACTGCATGCCAGGCACTCTGCTAAATGTATTCCAAGCATCATTTCAGTTAGTGCTCACAGCAAGGTGAGCTAAGGTAATGTTATCTCCAAGGTGTTCTAAGGTTCATGAAAGTCAGGTGCCTGCTTGAAGTCCCATAGCTGGTGGGGACAATGGTGAGACGTGGCCTCAGACAGCCTGATATCAGAGCCTGTGGTTTTAGTAATCATGCCACATTTGGACTCTGAAAGTTTAGAAGAAATACGCTGGCTCAGGGGCGCCTGGGTGGCTCAGTCGTTAAGCGTCTGCCTTTGGCTCAGGTCATGATCTCAGGGTCCTGGGATCGAGCCCCGCATCAGGCTCCCTGGTCAGCGGGGAGTCTGCTTCTCCCTCTCCCTCTGCCCCTCCCCCTGCTTGTGCTCTTTCTCTGTCTCTCAAATAAATAAATAAATGAAATCTTTAAAAAAAATAAATTCATTCAATGTAGAATTACTAAGGGAGCAGCAGTACAGTAAAAATGTTCTAGCAAGCCAAATCTAAAAGGGCTGAGTTCTGCCAACAAGAATTTAATTGTCTTCCTTCTGCTGAGGTTGGAACCATGTTAATGGAAAGACCTGTCTTCCTCTCATTTAATAAGTACTTCAGACACAGGTAGTTGAAAACAGGAACGGCTGAACTGCTGGGGCTTGAGCAGCTTGTTAGCGAATAGAGCAACACACTTTAGTTACAGTTTTGAATTCCCGGAGAGCATCAGCCGTGTACTTCCCCTCTGGTAGAGGCCAGTTGATGGCAGGATTCTGTTTACTCAGTTGGGTCCTGTATTCTAGAGAAACCAGCATGTCACCTGAGGTATTCTCCTAGCAAGTGCATCAGTTTCAAGGTCCAAGATCATACTAATGATTGTTTCTCATTGAGGCAGATGGAGTAGGCTGCTTCCAAAGATGGCCACGATTTTTCCCATCCTGCATGCCTTCTGCAGTGAGCCTTTTCCACCCCTCCAGAGGTAGAGTCTATTTTTTCCCTGTCCTTGAGTCTGGGCAGCCCAGTGACTTGCTTTGGCCAGTGGAATGTGGTGGAGGCAATGCTGTTTGGCTTCTGAGGCTAGGGGAGGCCTGTTGCAGCTTCCATTTTGGTCCTCATGGAATTTTTTGTCCTTGTGGAATGCTTGAGACCACACTCCTGTGAGGGAGCTCAAGGTAGTACCAGGGAGAAGTCACACAAAGAACAGAGATGCCCCAGCTGACGGCCCCAGCTGTGCCCAGCCCCCAGATGACCCACCAAGCCAACTGTAAGAAATGGAGCCATCATGAGAAATCATAAATCTTCATTGTTTTAAATCACTATGGTTTAGGGTGTTATGTAACAATAGATAATGGAAAAGGGGGGTTATTAATAATAAGTTAATAATGTATTAATATTAATACTATAACAGGTAAATAATATTAAATAATAAGAGCTCACTCTTTGCCAAGGAGAGAGAAGGATGAATCCTGCTGTCTGACACTCCTGCCTCAGGAGGTGGCTCGGTCGGCCGGGCTCTGCCAAAACAAAATACCATACACTGGGTGGTTCAAACAATAGACATTTTTTTCTCACAATTCTGGAGGCTAAAGTCCAAGATCAGGGTGCCAGCATGGTTAGTTCTGACTCTTCGTGGCTTCTTGCACACGGCAGAGAGGAAGCCCTCAGACGTCTCCTCTTACAAAGGGTTCTTTTTCTTTCTTTTTTTTTTTTAAAGATTTATTTTTTTTGACAGATAGAGACGGAGAGAGAGAGGGAACGCAAGCAGGGGGAGTGGGAGAGGGAGAAGCAGGCTTCCCGCCGAGCAGAGAGCCCAAAGCAGGGCTCGAACCTAGGACCCTGGGATCATGACCTGAGCCAAAGGCAGATGCTTAACGACTGAGCCACCCAGGTGCCCCAGATTTTATTTATTATTTGAGAGAGAGAGAGCTAGAGAGAGAGAGAGAGCACAAGTGGGGGGGAGGGGCAGAAAGGGAAGCAGATTCCCTGCTGAGCAGGGAGCCCAACGTGGGGCTCGATCCCAGGACCCTGGGATCATGACCTGAGCCAAAGGCAGATGCTTAACCGACTGAGCCACCTAGGCGCCCCAGTTTATTTGTTTATCGACTGCTTCTTTCCCCAATGGAAAAACATAAATTGCATGATAGGAGATAATTTTGTCTGTTTTGTTCACTGCTATAGTGTCAGGGGCTGTGTATTACCTCACTTATGCAATCCTGGGAGGCAGTTACTCTTATTCTCCTCATTTTTAAAAAAATATTTTATTTATTTATTTATTTATTTGTCAGAGAGAGAGAGCACAAGCAGGGGGAGTGGCAGGCAGAGGGAGAAGCAGGCTCCCCGCTGAGCAAGGAGCCCGAGGCGGGACTCGATCCCAGCACCCTGAGCGGAAGGCGGACACTTAACCCACTGAGCCACCCAGGCGTCCCTCTTATTATCCTCATTTTATTGATTAGAAAATCAAGGCTTCAGTTAGAGAATTGATATGTGGTCATATTCCTAGAAAGTTGAGAAACTTGAAGTACTAGCCAATGCAGTTAGACAAGGGAAAGAAAGGAGGCATCAACATTGGAAAGGTGGGGGGAAGAGTCTCCTTATTAGAAGCAGAATCTCTCTCACTCTAGCTTTCAATGATAATATTACTAATATAACAATAATTATTATTAAGACCCTTCACTTTCAGAGCTGCTCAGACAGAAGGTCTGCAATAAAACAACCCTTTTATTTGTCCCCTTTTCCCCAGTGGTCTGATTCCACCAAGAGAAGGCCCAGGAGGAAGAAGAGAAAACGATGCCCTTGTCGCCAAGACCAGCAAGACCAGCAGTAACAAGGAGGAGAAGACAATCATAAGGAAGCTGTAAGTTACTTGCTGCCCCGTTGCCACTAAATCGTTGCTGAAGGAAGGCAAGGAGGCCCGAGGAGGCTGGCCAGCTACCCAGGGTGGGGATGTCCTGGTTCGTGGTGCCACAGCGGATAGGAAAATTCGGGGCTGGACTGTTAGGAGATCCATGTTGGGCAGTAGTCTAAGCACTTGACTCTTCACGGTGACCCCGTGAGGTTGGAGCTGCCATCATCTTCATTCTACAGGTGGAGAAGTAGATGCTGAGAGGCAAAGTAATTTGCCTGAGGTCACCTAGATAGTAAATCATAAAGTCAGGACTTGAACTCAGGAAGTCCAGATTCTACACTACTGCCTCCCTATGATAGAATAATACTACAACAACAAGAAAACCAACGATAATTATTAGAGTTTAAGGGCGATTCATGGGGCACCTGGCTGGCTCAGTTGGAGGAGCATGTGACTCTTGATCTCAGGGTCATGAGTTAGAGCCCCACGTTGGGTGTGGAGATGACTTAAAAAAAAGGCAGGGGTGGGCGCCCGGGTGGCTCATTTGGTTAAGCGACTGCCTTCGGCTCAGGTCATGATCCTGGAGTCCCGGGATCGAGTCCCGCATCAGGCTCCCTGCTCGGCAGGGAGTCTGCTTCTCCCTCTGACCCTCTTCCCTCTCGTGCTCTCTATCTCTCATTCTCTCTCTCTCAAATAAATAAATAAAATCTTAAAAAAAAAAAAAGGCAGGGGTGGCTGATTCATTACCTCTCTTACCTCCTACATTTTTTTTTTTAAAGATTTTACTTATTTGAGAGAGAGAGAAAGAGTATAAGCAGGGGGAAGGGCAGAGGGAGAGGGGAGGCTGAGAGGGAGCCCAACGCGGGGCTTGATCCTGGGACCCTGGGATCATGACCCGAGCTGAAGGCAGATGCTTAACTGACCGAGGGAATGAGCCCCTCTTACTTCCAAATTCAGAGGACCCTGTGTCTCCCGTCATTGGGCCACATAATGTGATTTCCTTTGAATACTCCCCTCGTGTTTATGCTCCCTTGTTAATCCCTCATTTCTTCGGGTGCTAAGTCTCAAACCATAGAATGTGTGGTCCTTGTTTGAAATTCAGATTCTCAGAAGTCAAGTCTAGGATGAAGCGCAGAAATCTGGATTTCTAATAAATTCCCCAGGTAACTCTGATGTGGAGACCCCTTGGACCACACTTTGAAAGGTGCGTCCTCAGCTGACAAGTGTCCGTACAATGAGGCGGGCCCTTTCCCCACCCCTCCGTGAAGCAAACAGTCCATTTGCCTTGGCTGCTCTGAGAATGTCTGGCCTGGTGACATACCAGCCCCTGACCTCTTGGACGGAACTGAGAAACAGCCTCAGTCAGGGATCTCAAATGCCTGTGGGGGCCAGGCACTTAATGCAGATGAGTGATGGGGGTGTGGGGTGGGGGGGGGGACATTTGCCAGGGTCCTGGCAAGAAACAAATAGCACACTTAAAAGGAGTGACTGAAAAGATTTAAAGAAGGGTCATCTTACAGACATGACACATGAGAGCAGGGCTAAGGGAACCAGCAAGGGACAGAGAAGCACTCTAGCATGGCAGCTGGGCTGAGGGAGCAATGAGGGAAAGGGAAGGGGGGTGGTCAGCAGAGGGACACAGCAGCTAGTAAGACCAGGCCTGGTGGGGAGGGAGCCGGGGCATCAATACACCCCCCAACCTACCTTCCCAGCTCCTGCTGGGGCCTCCCAGTAACTGAGCCCATCCTGAAGCTAGAGGACAGAGGAAGAAGATTTGCTGTCATCCACAGAGATCAGCCTCCTGGAGCAGAGAACGGATGAGATGAATCTGAGGGCCAAGCAGCCCACAGGTTATGCACATACATAGTTTAGTTAAGTATTACCAGGCTTTCTGGAATGCCAGCATGAAAACCGCTGTGTCAGACAAGACCACCCGAAACCCAAATGATTCATCCTTCAGCACGTATTTATTGGGGGCCTACCATGTGCCAGGCATTGTTCTAGGTCCTGGGGATGCAGTGAACAAGACAGAGCCCCTGCCTTCATGGTGCTTCCATTCCAGCAGGGGAGTCAGAATGAGCAGGTAAGGAAGTGTATTGACAGGACCGTTTCAGATATCCATTCGATAGGCTGCTGAGAGAGAAGTTGACAGGGGGCAACTTCAGATTTGGGGAGTCCTGGAAGCCTTCAATGAGGAGGTGACATTCAAGCTGGGCCCTGAAAGACCATAAAGATGTGAGGGAAGTGCATTTCTGGTGGAGGGAACAGCAGGTATAAAGGCCTGAGGCGGGAGAGAAGCACAGAGAATTGAGTGAGGGCTGAGGTCAGTCAGGGCAGGGGGCAGGGGTTCCCAGTGGGGACCCTGAGTTTCACGGTGAGCACTTTGGGAAGACATGGAGGGTTTTAAGCTGGAGAGTGACATGTGCGTATTTACATGGAAAAGCTCACTCTGGCTGCTTTGTGGAGGAGGTGGTGGGGGGGACAGACTCAAAGCCAGGCCTGGGGGAGTGTTTCTTTCCCAAGGAAGGTTCTCCTGAGGTAAGGTAATGAAGGAGAGAGCATCTCCATGATGCCACACCAGCTGCTGCATCTGAAGGCATTTGTTTAACACTCCTATTGGCTGGGCAGGAGATGTATACTACTGGTTTCTTTGGGCCTCTTGGAGGAGAGTTCTTTGGGCCCCTTAGAGTTTGAGACTGCTAAGGCAAAAAATAAGATGTTTGTTCTGTGCACGAGCCGGCCTGAGGTCATGTGTCTAATGAGCATGAGGCCACAATTTCATGGTCAGACAAGCTCATTATAATGGAATGAGTGAATGGATGAATGAATGAATGAATGAATGGCTTTCTGAAGAAGTAGGTCATGCTAAGAAGGATTTTGGTCTTTATCCTGAGGGCAGTGGGGAGCCATGGAGTGGTGTGAGCTGAGGAATGACTTAGCTCTGTATAGTGACACGGTCATTCTGGCTGCCGTGTTGAGTGGATTGTAGTGGGTGGAGGGAAGGCTGTGGTGCTTATCATGGTGACTTGGACTGGGGGGTGGCAGTGGAGGAGATGAGGAGTGTTAGGATTAGGAACATATTTGGGGCATGATGACTAAAATATAGCAGATGGTGGGGGAGGAGCTGAGAACAACTCCCGGGTTCCTGGCATGAATGATGAGGCGGGGGATGATGTCACTTCCTGAGACAGGGAAGGGGGGGTGGGGTGGGGGTGCCGGTATGCACAGGTTCAGGGGAGGATGGCTGAGTCTGAATACTAGTCCAGGGCCAGCCCCAGCCATTGCGAGCAGAGCTGCTAACGGTGCTCAGGGGGTTTGTCTTTGACAAGAAGTACTAGCCCATACTCCCCGTCACTGGCTTTCCACCCCACCAGGCAGCTCTGGGTCTTTCTCATAGCTGCAATTAGCACTGAGATTGAACGTTGTGATTGACCCCAGATAGCTTTCTTCCTTTTCAAAACTTTGCATATGAGGGGGAAAAACACTGAACGTTTGGTATTCGTGTCTCAGGGCGTATCTAGGTTTTATCCAAGAATTTACATGCCAATCTTTATTCATTGCAAAGATCTGTTTTATAATTGTAAGTAACATGGATACTTCCTCCACAATAAAACCTCCTGAAATTAAAAAAAAAAAAGTTCGGACACCATTTTTCCGCATAGCACCGTGCTTAAGTGGGCTGTGGGTCCAACTCCTGGTGCTACAACTTACTGTGTGACCTTGGGCCTGTGACTGAACCTGGCAGGACCTGTTTGCTAATCTATAAAATAGGGATATGGAGGGTACTTACCTCATCGAGGTGTTATGAGTGTAAAATGAGCTGATAGATGGAAAACCCCTGAACAGTGCTGCCCCCACTGAGCCCTGAGCAAATGTTTGAGTCAGTGGCCTGCAAGAGCCTCTCACGGATTCCGCAGGGTTCTGCACTCCTTGCTTCATTCTATGCCCCTCTGACCCTTCTCTCTCTATACCCAGGTTCTCTTTCCGATCGGAGAAGCAGATGTAGCTCGAAAGCCCCGACTAAGACAGAGGTTCTTGGACTCACGAAGGCAATGCACCAAGACTTCCAAACTCATCTCTCAGTTTTTCCAAACTCGGCCATCTCTCACTGGCACCCCCCAGTGCCACGCATACTCACTGTACTTGCTCATCTGTTTCCCCTGAAAGCCACCAAGGAGGAAGGAGATGAGGCTCTCTCATGATAATTTTTTCCCTGGCCTCAGAACTGGACACCCCTGAAGCCTCGGCCAAGGCTGGGGAAGCAGCACAAAGAAATCAAGAAAGCAGAAGGCAAGCAAAATGAGGCCCACTTCCTGCTGCTCACCAGCCGTCCAGAGGGACCTCCAGTGTGCAGGTGTGCGCTCTGCCTGTCTGGTCTCACGATGACCTGGGTCTTTACCACGTAGTAGCAGCGAAAGTCGTGAGCCCAAAGGGAGAGGGGAGGAGAGAATGCAGGAAAAAATGGTATTGACATTCCAGTGATGATTTCACAGATATTTAGTGAACATTCGGTTTTGCTAACATGACTTTCTTTACATGATTTTGTATTAAAGTGAAATGACTTTTATACTTTCTCTGAGTGTTTTAGAGTGGTGCCTGGAGTTATGTGACCTTGTCTATGGTACTTTAACCTTTCAGAGTCTTGGTTTCCAAATCTGTAAACTGTATTTATGTACGTATGCATATTTATTTGGTGGTGTATATATGGTGCATATACATTTCAGCGACTCTAAGTGATGCACCAGTATTTTGTGTGTTGCTATGAGAGAAAAAAAATGCTGCAAATTATTATTATTTTTAAAGATTTTATTTATTTATTTGACAGAGAGAGAACAAGCACAAGCAGGGGGAGCAGCAGAGGGAAAGGGAGAACCAACATGGGGCTCGATCCCAGGACCCTGTGATCATGACCTGAGCCGGGGGTAGATGCTTAACTGACTGAGCCACCCAAGCGCCCCTTATTATTATTATTTTTTAAAGATTTATTTATTTGAGAGAGAGAGAGCATGAGCAGCGGGAGGGGCAGAGGGAGAGGGAGAGAATCTCAAGCAGACTCCCCACTGAGTGTGGAGCCTGATGCGGGGCTCGATCCCACAACCCTGAGATCATGACCCGAGCCAAAATCAAGAGTCAGATGCTTAACCAACTGAGCCACCCAGGTGCCCCTATTATTAGTTCCCAACTAACCAAAGCATCTTTTTTTTTTTTTTTAAGATTTATTTCTTTCTTTTAGAGAGGGAGAGAGGAAGACAGAGAAAGAGCGAGCATGGTGGGGAGGGGCAGAGGGAGAGGGAGAGAATCTTAAGCAGACTCTGCACTGAGTGTGGACCCTGACACGGGGCTTGATCCAATGACCCGGTGATCATGACCTGAGCCGGAACCATGAGTCGGACGCTCAGCTGACTGCACCACCCAGGTGCCCCCCAAATAACCAAAGCATCTTGAGAAAGAAGAACAAAGCTGGAGGTATCACAATCCTAGATTTCAAGATATAACACCAAGCTAGAGTAATCAAAGCAGTCTGGTACCGGCACAAAAACAGACACATAGATCAACAGAACAGAGAACACAGAAATAAACCCACATTTATATGGTCAATTGGTCTATGACAAAGGAGGCAAGAATATACAATTGGAAAAAGTCTTTTCAACAAACGGTGCTGGGAAAACGGAACAAATTATAACATTAAGATGCTACCGATTTTAAGGCTCATCCTGATTTCAAAGATGTTAAAATGTGGGGGGCGGGAATGCGTTTAGGATTCAATGAAATACAGTCTATAGAGAACAGATGGCTGCACTTTGCAAAGAAACTAATGGGCCTGCTGAACATATCCTGTGAGCTGGTCGCGCTAGTGACCAACCCTGGCTTGCTGAATGTTCTGCCTGCTGTACGGACCTCGCTTATTCCCGTAACAACTCAGGGAGCTGGGGACCAGCACTAACCCGCCAGTGCACAGATTCGGAAAGTGAAACTCCAAAAGATGAAAGTACACGAGGTCACAGAGCTAGGAAGTGGCTGCCCAAGATGCACGTGCGGGCCTGATTCTAAGGCCTGGGTTCCTACCTGCAACGTGCAACGTGCCCTTCTTCTCCAAAAAGCACTCATGTTGATAATGAAGGTGTGTCTCCCTACACCACTTGGAGGACTTTTTGCCCACTGCCTCACCGTACCTCTGTGGGATGGGTGTCATCATTCCCGTGGTGCACCCAAGGTGACAGCACAGTGGGGCTGAGGAATTCATCCAGGGTCCAAGCTCCAAAGTGGTAGAAGTCGGACCCGAACCCAGAGGTAAACTCCACAACCCAGGCTTCACCCACTCTGCCTCCTGAGAAATGCTGGCCCCACTCAGGCTGGTCCAGAATGCCATCTTGGCAGAGCCTTTGATCAGGGGCTCCTGATTTCTAACCCCAGATGATGCTGTCATCCTCATGGGGTGCTCCCCTCTTCACAGGGGCAGGGAGGAGAAAGCTTTCTGTGCCTTGGAGGTGACAGCCGGCTGGGAAAACGGATCTATGCCTCCTGCCTTCAGAACCCCCACGCAGAGGCTGGGCAGGCTGCACACAGGGGCAGTGAGACCACAGAACAGAGAAAGAAAGAGAGAGAGAAAGAGAGAGAGAGGGGGGGGGGGGGGGGGGGGGGGGGGGGAGCACTCTGTCTTTTCCAGGAGTGCAGAGCAGACTCAGCTCCTGGGAATGACATGGAAAGTCCACCCTCCAAGGCAACAGCCTTACATCCTAGAGTCCCAACGATGGCAGCCCACTTCCCTACACCTGAGCCATTCTTGCTTCGGTTTCCGTCTCCTTGTCTCCAGGCTGTAGGACAACCAGAAAGTCTAGAAGCAGACAGATTGTGTGTTGCTGTCTGTAAGCCATTTATACATATTACCTGCATTTCCAGACCCGGGGGTCCCCCTGTATAAATGCTCAGCTGCCTCTTTCTCCCTCGTGGAGGTAGAGAAGGCAAGAAAACCCACTCCGAGAGAAATGTCAAGTTAAAACAGCCCTGGTTCCTGTGTATCCTGGGGGGAAACTTAAAAAAGAAAAAAAAAGACAGTAAAGAATGCTCAGATTTTAGCAACTCTTGGTCAAATCAGACACTGGGGTGTGGGAGTTCCACAAGGTAATCCCGGGAGCATTTCTCCTGGAGCTGGGGCCCGGTGTGACCACGGAAAACTGCTAGAACTGCTCCCACACTGCGGGCTTCCTTCGCCAAACCCAGCACCAGGAGGAACCACCTGAGAAGTGGGTCTCCAAGCCAGGTTTCACAAGGCACAAGAAGTGGTTGCTGTAGAAATCATCTTTTAAAAATGAACAAGTAAATACAGCAACTAAGTATCAGAGCTCAGAGGCTCTTAGCTATTAGTCCCCGGCACTTGCAAACAGTGAATGGTAGAAACAACGCAAAGTTTCTTTTCCTTTTTTTTTCTTTCTCTTTCTTTCTTTTTTCTCTCTCCTTCCTTTCTAGATTTTATTTGAGAGAGAGAGAGAGAGCACACAAGCAGGGGGAGAGGGAGGGACAGAGGGAGAAGCAGACTCCCCACTGAGCAGGGACCCTGAGATCAAGACCTGAGCCAAAGGCAGATGCTTAACGGACGGAGCCACCCAAGCGAAAAAAGCCAGGTTTCAATCCTAACAGCAAACATGGATGACTAAGGGGTATCTAGGTGCAAGGCAGTGCTCCACATGCTTTCCCCGCACGAACTCCTGTAACGCAACCACCTGCGTGCGCACACCAGCACTGCTCCATGTTGCCGAGGAGGGAGGTGGTGCACACAGAGCTGTCACCCGCCCAAGGTCACACAGCTGGCTGTTCCAGGGCCGAGTGCACTGTGTTCCCTCCAAGGTGCAGATGTAGTCATCCATGACAGCTGAATCCTCTGGACACCCCTGCACGTCAGCAGGGCAGAGGCTGTTCCCGTGTGATGGTCAAGCTTCAGAAAAGGAAAGGGATTTGTGCAAGGTGACAGGCTGGCCAACACAGCTGCTCCTCGTGCCAGATCTTCTGCTTGTCAACCAAGGACTCTATCTGCCTCCAGTGCAGGTGGCTGGTGAGGACAGAGATCTGCGACTGATAGGAGGGGCTTCCCGCCAAGACAGGGCGCAGATGATGCCAGGTGTTGTTCTCAGGGAGGATTCACACGCGTTAATTTTTAATCTTCTCTGGCACCTATGACCCCCACTGTACAATGAACAGACTGTCCCCCTAGGAAGACATTCACCAAAACAGACACTCTATAACCCTTTTTTTAAAAAAGATTTTATTTTTAAGTAATCTCTGCACCCAACATGGGGCTTGAACCCACGACCCCGAGGTCGAGAGTTGCACGCTCCACTGACTGAGCCAGCGGGTACCCCTGCTGTGTAACCCTTTTGTAAAATGAAGCAGAAAATTCCAATCCTCTCTGCCATGTAAAAAACAGACACACAGGTGGCCTCGCCTGGCAATAAATATTTTAATTTTTGTTTCATTTTTATGATGACAAATAATTTTCAAGTTATTTCCTTTTTTTTTTTAAATACAAAGCTAAACCACAAACAGGTACAACCAAGACATTTTATCTCACATTTACACACTCTGTCGGATCCTCCTCCAATTCTCTGACCACTGACCAGGCAAGTGTGGGGTGGGGGGAGGGGGGAAGACTTTCTCAGGTAGCACCGTGGTGAGGCCGGGGGGGGGGGGGGGGGGGGGGGGCAAGATTGGGGACAGGGACGCATACCTGTCTCCATTCACATTTACCTGGGACCAGGGGAGGCCGGGAGACCCCAGGTCATGGATCCAGAGCCATGGCTCCCTGGACTGCAGGTTAACAGAGTGAGAATAGGTCCCCTTTCAAGAGGGAGGAAGCTACCTACTCCTCCTGCATCACAGTCAAGGTGAAAACTTTACCCTTAGCCTTGATCCCTGGGCTGCTGGGCCTGCCCGCTCCACTGGTGCACCAGCGGCTGGGGTAGGGGCCCTGCATTTCAGGGTCTGTGGGTTCCCCCTTCGGTTCATGGCTGCATCTTCATTTTTGCAGGAAGGACACCAGGTGGTCTGACAAACAGAAAGCCTGACAGCAGGTCTGGAACTTTCAACCCATTGGAATTGGGTCAGGGTGGGGGGAGGGGGGTGATGGGTAAGTAATTTCTGGTCCCGCTACAAAACTTTTATTTTTGATTAGAATAGAGTACCATCTCAAATCTCTTCTACAAAAACAAAAACCAAACCAAAACAAAACAACAAAAAAAAGAAAGAAGAAAAAAAAAAAACGCAGCCACTTCACTCACTTCAAGACCTATATACATGTTAAGTTGTTTTCTGTGGTTTTTTCTTTTTTTTTTTTTTGTCTTTTTAAAATTTTTTAATTTTTATTATTTTTTTAAAATAAATTCAGTGTTCACATTTCTATAAAGAATTAACCCAGTTTTGGGAAACCCTGCCCCGGCAGGGCGAGCAAGCAATGCTTTTCCCTGCCCACATCTACTCTGATTACCCGCCCTGATGCTTCGAGGTGCCCAGAAAAGCGGCAGCCTGTGGAAGAGTAAACCGAGGCCCAGCCCGCGCCCGGGGGCCACTGGGTCAGTAAGCT